CACAGTGCTCTGGAGAGATAATCGAGGTACCGTGGAGGTTATTCTGGTGGATCTACGCGTACCCTAGCGGCCCGTTGTCCATGACTAGGTCCTCCCGATGGATCAGGGCGGATTAACTAGGCTGTTACTGCTGGCCGCACGCTAGTGCAACTTACGAGCCACAGCCCGGTACCCCCCGTGATCCGGCACTGACTTTAGGTATCTGTCCAGCTCTCTTTCTTGAGGCAGCCAGGGGTTTTTATTTGGGCAATTTCCCCTATGCTTGATGGGAGGCTGTTGATCAGTTTTGGGCCCCGGACGCTTATGGTGTTTTCTCTTAGATGTACCATTGGAGCCCCTACTTTTTATTGGCGGCATTTTGATTCGCCTGCCCAGTCTTGTACTTTCGTAGGGAGTGATTTTCTGTGTGCAGATTTGGGACCATTCCTTCCAAAGATTTTCCAAGTGTGTAGTTTATGATATAATCTCTCCCTCCTGCTGTTCCAATTGCGTACCAAGTCAAGTGTTTTCCAAGCGTTCCCTCAGTAGTTAAGGATGCTTGACAGAACTTATACGTGCGTAAAGGGATGTATCTGTACACTCCTTCTAGATCTGGATTTTCACCTGCTTTGTTAATGGAGATGTTAGAATCGTACAGCAGTATTCCAGCCTAGAGAGAACAAGTGATTTGAAAAGGATGTCACCATTATGTCTTGGCATTCTCGCGTTTTGAAATTTCTCATTATCCATCTTTTATTTCTTTGCACGGGCGAACGGGCCTGTTGTGATCTTGAAAGTGAGATCCTTCAGACAATTACTACTCCAGCGTCCCTTACGTTATTTTTCGCGCACTATATTGTATGTGCTCGGAGTCAGTAGTATTACTCTGTTCTAGTTATTATCTCCTCTCAGTTTTCCATACGGAGTGTTGGAATTTTGTCCTCCGTTGGACAGCTATGGTTTTACCGTTGCCGACTGGGAATACTCTGTGTTTATATCTTTGGAGGTTAACCGCGTCCTCTGCAGATGACAGCCTGCATGCAGATCTAGTAGATCATCTCGACAAAGGATTGATACGGATGCTTGTGGTGTATATCTCTGTTTATGTCTGATTTTTGAGGATTAAGGAATTAGTGATTGGGGGCGAGTACTGTGGCCTTGTGAACAGAGCTCTTAACTATGGCAGGCCTCCGTTAACTCTGTTGACCATCTTACTCTTTGTTTTCGATTTGTTAGGAAGTTGTTAGATCCTAATTCTTCCTCCACTTCTTCCAGTTATTCCTTTTGCACGTATTTTAATTGGGGCTATTCGCCATGATTTCGCATTTGTCAAATGCTTTTGCAAAGTGTCGTGTTGTATATTACATCTGCATCTGATTTTTCTTTCCAGGCTATCCAAGGCCAGTGTCCTAGGTGTTTCCAAGTAGTTGTTGAGAGGCAGCGAGCGAATGCGACCTTGCCTGAAACCCATGTTGCCTGGAATTGGTGCTTGATTTTGGTAGTGGTAATACTGGTGGCGGATAGTGGTGGTGGTAGTTGTGATTACTGGTGGTGATTAGTGGTGGTGGTGTGGTGATACCGCGGTGGCGATAGTGAGGTGGTTAGTGGTGATACTGTCTGGCGTATAGTGGGGTGGCTAGTGGTGATTACTGGTGGCGATAGTGGGGTGGTAAGTGGTGATACTGGTGGCGTTAGTGAGGTGGGTTAGTGGTGCTACTGTTGGCGATAGTGTGGAGTGGTAGTGGTGTTTACTGGTGTGCTGAAGTTGGGGTGGAAGTGGTGTACTGGTGGCGATGTAGTGGGGGGTTGTGGTGATACTAGGGTGGCGATGTAGTGGGGTAGTAGTGGTCAGTGTTTACTGGTGGCGATAGTGGGGATGGTGTAGTGGTGATACTGGTGTGTGTGTATAGTGGCCACGGTGGGTCACCAGTGTCTGGTGCATAAGTGCGCCGGGATGGCGACAGTGGGTTAGGTGGTAGTTGGTTGATACTGGTGGTTGATGAGTGTTAGTCGGTAGTAGTGGTGATACTGGTGGCGCGATAGTGGGGTGGTAGTGGTGATATGGGGGCGATAGTGGGGTGGTTAGTGGTGATACTGGTGGGCGATAGTGAGTGGTCGTGGTGTGTGATACTGTTGGGATTTAGTGGAGGTGGTAATGGTGATAGACTGGAGGCGGATAGTGGGGTGGGTTAGTGGTGATACTGGTGGCGATAGTGAGGTTATGGTTAGTGGTGTGATACTGTTGGCGATCGTGGGGTGGGTAGTGGTGATATGGTGGTCGATAGGAGGGTGGTGTAGTGTGTGATACTGGGTGGCGATAGTGAGGTTGGTTTTGGTGGTAGTTGGTGCTACTGTGTGGCGATAGTGTGGGTGGTAGTGTGATACTGTGGCGATAGGGGGTGGAAGTGGTGATTACTTGGTGGCGTAGTGGGATAATTGGTGGTAGGTGGAAGACTGGTGTGGCGATAGGTGGTGGTAGTAGTGTGATACTGGTGTCGATAGTGGTGGCTGGTAGTGGATACTGGTTGGCTATGAGTTGGGGTTGGTAGTGGTGATACTGGTTGGCTCGATAGTGGTGGTTGGGTAGTGGTGGTGATACTGGTGGCGATAGTGGGTGTGGGTTGTGGTGGATACTGGTGGCGATAGTGGAGGTGGTATGTGGTTTACTAGGTGGTTGCGAATAGTGGCGGTTTGCTTAGTGGTGAATACTGTAGTGGCGATAGTGGAGGTGGGTGTGGTGATACTGGTGGCGCTTAGTGGTTGATTATGGTGGGCGTGAGTGGTGATTCTGGTGGCGATAGTGGGGTGGTAGTGGGTGATATGTTGGCGAATAGTGGGGGTGGGTTAGTGGTGATACTGTGTTGGCGATTAGTGGGGTGGTTTAGTTGGGTTACTAGTGTGGCGATAGTGGGTTGGTAGTGGTGATACTAGTGGCGATAGTGGGAGTGGTAGTTTGTGATACTGATGGAGATAGTGGGTGTGGTAGTGGTGATACTTTGGTGGCGGATTGTGGTGTTTTCGGTGGCGATAGTGGTGATAATGGTTGTGCGATTATGGTGATACTTGGTGGCGATAGTGGGGGTGGTAGTGGTGATTAATGGGGCGGATAGTGGGGTGGTTAGTGGTGTATAGTGGGCTCGATTTAGTGGGGTGGTTGTGGTGATATAGTGGCGATTAGTGGGTGGTAGTTGTGATACTGGTGGAGTGATAGTGGGGTGGTTAGGGTTGTGATACTGGTGGCGTATAGTGGTGATACTGGTGGCGATAGTGGTAGATACTGGTGTGTGGCTCGATAGTGGTGATATGGTGGTCGATAGTGGGGTTGGTAGTGGTGATACTGGTTGGCGATAGTGGGTACGGTGGTAGTGGGTTTGATATTGGTGCTGATAGTGTTAGGTGGTAGTGTGTGATATGGTGGCGTATTAGAAGTGTGTGATACTGGGTTGCGATAGTGGGGTGTGGTACGTGGTGTTACTGGTGGCGTAGTGGGGGTCGGTAGTGGTGATTAATAGTGTGCGGATAGTGATGGTCTTGGTAGTGGTGATACTGGTGGCGATATGTGGCGTGGTGATATTGTTTTCTCAATTGTTTTTGGTCTGTGCATATTAAAGAAAAGGTAATTTCCGTTGGGCGGATTTTTTTGTTTGAGGTTGTGTATTGGACTCTTGTTAGAAGAACTCTATTTAGCATATAGTCATCTTGTTGATGGTGGCACATGTCAAGAGTAATACTTGTGGTGATGGAGTTACATCGGGTTGGCAACAATAATAAAGGCAAGTGGTGGTAGGAGTGATGGGGTGATAGTCGTGTAGCGTGCTGGTTGGTGGTAAGAAGTTATGGGGTTGGATAGGGGTTGCGTGCTGGTTCGGTTGGTAGAAGTTATGGGGTGATAGTGGTAGCTGTGCATTGGTGGTGGTATGAAGTTTTGGGGTGATTAGTGGTTGCGTGCTGGTGGTGGTAGAGGTGTATGGGGTGATCAGTGGTAGCGTGCTGGTGGTGGTAGGAGGTGATGGTGGGTGATAGTTGTAGCGTGGTTGGTGGTGGTAGGAAGTTATGGGGGTGATAGGTGGTAGCGTGCTTGTGGTGGATAGAGATGATGGGGGGTAGAGAGTGGTAGCGTGTGCTGGTTGGTGTGTTAGAGGTGATGGGTTGTGTGTATAGTGGTTAGCGTTTGGTGGTGTCCTTGGATAAGCCTGTAGAAACTGCTTCCTTCCTCTCATTAATGGATGGCTAGGCCATCTTGTTCACCCTCCTCTTCCTGCCCTCCCACTGAGTCCTGCTCCGTTTACGCCACTTCCTTGGCCTCCCTCAGTTTTCTCCATCTGTGCGCTCGCACCCTGCTTACCTCCCTCAATTACCTTCATCTTACCATCATGTGTACTCAGGCTCTCCATTTCTGTCATCCACTCAGTGTAAAGACATCTCTGACTCACGGAATGTAATGTACACGATTCCCTAAGTTCACAGTTGTACCATCTCCCTCCAATATCGCACACTTGGCCCTTTATCATTTTCCCTATGCTTCGTATGTATGTATGTGTTCCACATTCCTTTGAGGGCATCCCAAGAGTCACAATTTCGCCGCTTCACTTATTACACTTAGACAAACACTACGTATCCCTTCTCTCACCCTATGGATAGAAAGTATTGCTGTAACACTAACAGACTCTGAAATTTCAGATATGGAGATTTCTTTACTGTCGTTAAATTTCAGTTTATTGCATCTAAATTATCGTGTGTCAATTATTGTGATCCATGTGTATCTGTAGCAACCTTATTTCTTTCAAATTTTTTCCAATAAGATGTTAATGATGTGTAGAACATTGTCACTGATAGGGGACCACAGCTTTTTGGTATTTTGCCTTCTTCCAGCTGATTAGAGTGGGGTGTAACCGGTGGTCTTCAGTGACTGAAGGATGACTCCCTATGTTCAGAGCTCTCCATCTCCATAGGATATTTAAGACAGTTATGAGTGTCGTTCTATGAATTCCAGATTTGAACTTGATATTCTTTGATTATATCAGTGTAAGGTTCCATCTCCATTAAGTAAAAAACCCTGATGACTAGATGTAGTTGCTTGATACTGGATTTGCACGAGAAAAAGTATTTGAAATGTTTGTTTCAAATTTCCGGTAGTATTTTCTATTATGTCTTTACGGTGTTTCATGGCTTGTTTTTTGTTGTTTCCTCTGGCATAGTCACTGCAAGCCTCTTGATTAAGTTATGTGATTCTCTTCTCGCTTATAAGGAGAAGCAAGCGCTTTATATCTTCCAACTTGCAATTCTTTTGTTTCTTCTTCTCTAAGATATATGAGAATACATCTAGGTACCTACTGAGTTCATTTCTCTCCAGATACATGCTTCAATATCCACGTAATTTACACGCACCTTTCTACAGTATTTAAGCAAGGTTCGTGATTTATTTGATCCCTGTAATACACTTATGTTGAAATTGAATTGTATACTGAATATGCTATCATGGGTGTGTCTTACTGCTCAAAACAGTGTGTATGCAGGTCTAAACTTTAAAACTAAACTATGGCGTCCGGTTTGGGTTTTTTTCCATATGTTCCTTATCCGGATTCCATATTAGTTGTGGATATGTGAGTCAGGGTTTTTTTCTTTTCTTCAGGGGACAGAATGGTTTCAAGTGCTTATTCAACAACATTGATGGTATATGGTGGGTCAGCAGCTGACCAGCGGCATAACCAGTTTGAGTTTTGGTCAGCCAAGCATCGATAAGCTGGTCAGAGCCGGGGCAGCGAGAGTAGGAAAACGCCGGGTTTTCTTAAACACATCAAAGGAAACGGTTATAATAACCATGTGTTACTGTTAGTGGTACATAAATAGGTATACTGACCTAAGATGATGATAAATAGTTTTGAAAACCGACAGCTTGAATAAACTGATGACACTAGATGGCAACATATGGGGAAATTTATGACACAAGTGCAACATCTGGGTATTTTACGTTAGACGTGCCTCGCCATCTGTGGCTTTGTATCAATACATGATTCTTTGGACATAACTGAAGACAGTAGAACTATATACGCAGAATGATGAGGTAATCAGTTCCCCCAGCCAGGAGTTGATGTTTCACAGTAGTACGAGTGTGAACACCAAGAACTCCCGGGATGAGGGATCCGATCAACCCATCTTATTGTGTATATAATTCTATAATTCTTGTAGATTACTTCCTTGGTATTGGATAAAGCCACTAGTTGGCGAGAAACGTCTACAAATAAAAATACCTAGTTTTGTCCCACGTGTCAATTTTTTCACACGTTTTGTCAGTGTTCAGGGGGTCCTCTCTCAAACTGGCTTACGTGGAGGTGTAAATCATTGTACACAACCCAGCAGTGCTGGTTTATTAAATTCATTACCGTGTAATACAAAAAAACGCCTGAGCCTTTGTGAATGTTCCAAGTAACATGTCATCTACAGAAGACTTAGGCGCACGACACAAAGTGACTGGAAAACACTCTATTATATTCACGTGGAAGCACTACCACCGCAAGGGTCGTAAGGCGGGAGGTAACTACAGAGGAAACTGACGGTAGTTTATTAGAGAACGGACCTGCAGTCTTGATAATAAATTTAAGAATTTTGAGCAGAATATATGAATAATAGAGAAGGAAAACATCGGTTCTCAATAATAAAACTAGAAGAAGAAAAAACGGTCTCAATATTAACTGAAGTGAATGAAGAAAACAAAACGCGGTCCTTCAATTAATAAATAGAAGAAGAAAACAACGGTCTCAACAATGAGAGACTACGAAAAACATGGTCTCAATAAAATGTTAACTAACAAGAAAGAAAACAACGCTTGAATCCCCAATTTAAATATTAGGTACTGGATAAAATATCTATGGACTCGAGGCTTAGGATAAATAAATTAGGGAACCATGACTGTCGATAAGGAATTGGTAGCGGGACAAAGGTCTTCAGAAATGGAATTAATGAGTTATTTTAAATAATTGGATACTCCCACAAAACTATTCAACAAAAAATATCGGACCAGACTTACAGAATCTAGGTTCCCGGATTTTGAAACGCGAAAAGAGAACTGGGGGACGGAGACGATTGGCTGTAAGGAAACAGGTGCCGGACGTATGACTTTTAAGAACTGGGGTTCCGGTTGTGATGACTTGATAAGAACAGCTACTGAATGCGTGTACTCTAAAGCTGGTAAACCATTTTTGGCGCCTTAACTTGTCGGGTTTCATCAAAGAGTTTACTGTGACCGCAGTGTTTCGAGGGTTCTTCCAGAATCTTGCAGCATCTCACTGAGGCCATATTATATATTTTATATTATATATATATATCTATATATATATATCTATTTTATATAATATAATATATGTTTATATATATATTATATATATATCTTGTCTCTCTTCTCCGATTCGCTTTTCTCTTGTTCCTCTCCCTCTCCGTTTCTCATATTCTACACGAGGCTGCGCCTTTCGGCCATGTAAAGTGTCAGTCAAGTGTTGAGTCGGATTTGATTATGCTACTCCAGCCCTAAATCATAGGAGATGTATTGCTTGCTGAGTAGCGAATGCGGTTGGTATAGTGTGCGATATTGCTATTGACAATCATCCGTGTGTTACACTGGACCGCTGCCGCAGTGCAAGTGTAATGTACTCTACCTTTTGTACTCACATTTGTGGTTGCAGGGGGTCGATTCAAGACACCTGTGGCCCGCCCTCTACTTGATTGCTGTACTAGGTCCTCTCTCTCCTGCCCATGAGCTCTAACATACCTCGCCTTGTAAAAACTATGTATGGTTCCTTCCTCGACCACATCACTTTCTAGGCCTTATCCATGGCTGACTACTCTAGACTGAAGAATTATCTTTCCTAACATCCGTCTTGACTTCATCTGAGTCTTTGTCACTTCCAATTGTGTGATCCTCTTGTTGTCTGTCGTGCATCTCTGGAACATCCCGTCTTTGTCCACCTCGTCTATTCCGCACAGTATTTTATATGTGTCGTTATCATGTCTCCCCCTGTCCCTCCTGGCCTCCAGTGTCGTCAGGCCGATTTCCCTCAAGTTTTATTCATAGGACAATCCCGTAGCTCTGGGGACTGTGTCTTGTTGCACAACTCTTTGCTCTTTTCTCTATTTTGTCTTGACGTGCTTTGACTAGGTGTGGATTCCAAAATATGGTGCTTGCATACTCCAGTATGGGCCTGACGTAGTGGTGTTACAGAGTCATTAACGAATCCTTACTGAGGTATCGGAAACGTATCTCAGTTAGGTTTGCCAGGCGCCCGTATGTGCAGCGGTTATCTGTATTGATGTGGCCTCAAGCGAGATATGCTCGGTGTTTTTATACTCACCCCAGATCTTTTTCCTTGAGTGAGGTAGTTTGAGTCTTGGCCATTTTTCTAAACTTTATGTTGTGGTCTGCGTCTTCCTTTGCTTCCCAATCTTCATGGTACTTTGCATTTTGGCGCAGGGTTAATTCAGGAGCCAGTTGCTGGACCAGGCTGTTGTGGCCTGTCCAGTCTCTTTGTAGTCACTGCCTTGATCATCGTTACGATTCGATTCTTTCTCATTAACTTCACTATGCGTCTGCAAACAAGGGACACTATCAGTGAGTCTATCCCTTCCGTTATGTGTCGTGCACCGTATATCAAGAACATGCACAGGTACTAGGACTGACCCCTGTGGACCCCGCTTGCACAGGCGCCCTCTCTGACACCTACGTCGTTATTTTTGACATGACTCGTTGTTAGCCTCCTGACAGATATTCTTCTGATCCATTGCAGTGCCATTTCCTGTGTTATGATGTGCCCTGGTCCTGCTAGCTTTTGCAGTAACCTCTTGTGAGAACAGTGTCGAAGCCTTCTTGCAGTCCAAAAATACGGTCAGTCGATCCACCCTCTTTCTCTCTTG